TCAAGCACCTCGAAATATAATTTATCTGACGTAATACTGTAGAAAACCTCGCCTGGTTAACTAGTTTACTAGTTACTAGCCGGTCCTAAGCCCGGGTAAAGAGGGAAGGTTGGGCATAGGGCTAGCAACCCTACCCCGTAAAACAAATCTAACCGCTAAAGAAACTTCAAAGCACAAACAAAATATAAAAAATGAAAACAAACTTATTCCCCGCTGGAATCGGAGAGGCGAAATGACGCCAGTTGGTGAAAGCCTTCGGGAAGCCAATTGGCCGATGTGTCTTCTCTCGATGAAAGCGAAAGTAAACGTGGGGACATGGAATGTCCGCACGATGTTTGAACCCAGTAAGGCAGCCCAGATTGCAAACGAGATGAGAAGGTATCACATCGAAGTGCTTGGAATTTGCGAAAGCAGATGGAATGGGAGTGGACTCTCCAAACTGTCAACTGGAGAATCAATAATCTACTCCGGTCACCCAGACGACAACCACGAGCACACTGAGGGAGTGGCTATCATGATGTCCTCAAGAGCATCGAAGGCTCTCATGCAGTGGGAACCAATCTCCTCCAGGATCATGACAGCAAGATTCAACTCAAAAGGAAGAAAGGTCACAATCATACAATGTTATGCACCTACAAATAATGCAGAGCAAGAGAAAAAGGAGGATTTCTACAGACAACTTCAATCAACACTGGACAAGACGTCAGTTGGCGATATCAAAATTCTGATGGGCGACATGAATGCCAAACTGGGAGGGGACAACACGGGAAGAGAACTAACCATGGGTCGAGAGGCACTAGGGGAAATGAATGAGAATGGAGAATTGTTTGCAGAATTCTGCGCATTCAACGATTTGGTGATTGGAGGCAGTGTGTTCAGGCACAAAGATATCCACAAAGCGACATGGATTTCACCAGATGGACACACTAAAAATCAAATCGACTTTATCTCAATCTCAAGAAAATGGAGACGCAGTCTACTTAACACAAGGTCAAGAAGAGGAGCAGATGTAGGTTCAGACCACTACCTAGTGCAAGGAACCTTCCAAATCAAGTTAAAAGCCTTCAAGGAAGCTGGTGATAGACCTCAACCCAAGTACAACACTCGGAAACTGAAGGATGAAACTACAAAGGAGATCTTCACGTCAGCCATCAAGACAAAATGGGAGACATCGAGCAACATCCCTGAAGAAACCTGTGTGGAAGAACACTGGAAGTCTTTGAAAGCTATGTGGAAAGAAACCTGCACAACAGTATTAGGAAGGAAGAAGAAAGAAGACAAGGAATGGATCTCGACGGATACCTGGAAGCTGATAGAGCAGGAGAGGAGGATGGTGAAGCAGAAGATAAACCAGTGCACGGATGCTCAACGACAAGAGGAACTGAGCACAATGTATAAAACACTGGACAAAGAAGTGAAGAAGAGTGCACGCAAAGACAAAAGACACTTCTACGAAACACTGGCAAGTGAAGCAGAACAGGCTGCAGGTAAGAGAGACCTGACGACATTGTATCAAATAACCAGGTTGCTATCAGGGAAGAGACCAACACAGATGAAACCAATAAAAGATGAAGAAGGAAATTTAATTACAAAAGAAGAGAAACAGAGGAAACGATGGGCCGACCACTTCAAGAAGCTCTTGAATCGACCACCACCTGCACTTCGTCCAGAAATACCACCTGCAGCCGCTGAATTACAAGTGAACATAAATCCTCCAACGAAAATGGAAGTCCTGAACGCCATAAAGCTACTGAAATGCGGGAAAGCAGCAGGACCAGATGGAATACCGCCAGAAGCACTGAAAACAGATGCAGAGACAACAGCGGCCATGCTCACACCACTATTGCAGAAGGTGTGGAAGGAAGAGAAGGTACCTGACGATTGGAAGAAGGGTTACCTTGTCAAACTGCCGAAGAAGGGAGACCTCAGTGCTTGCAAGAACTGGCGCGGAATCACTCTCCTGTCCACCCCAAGTAAAATATTAAGCCGCATCATCCTGGAGAGGCTAAGGGATGCACTGGATTCAAAACTACGACCGGAACAGGCAGGCTTCAGGAAGTACAAATCATGTGCAGACCAAATTGCAACGCTTCGTATCATCATAGAACAGAGTATAGAATGGCAATCAGCTCTATACCTCAACTTCATCGACTTTGAGAAGGCCTTTGACAGCGTCGACCGAGAAGTAATTTGGAAACTGCTTCAATACTACGGAGTACCGCAAACCTTTATCCGCCTCATTCAACAACTATATGAAGATGCCACATGCCAAGTAATCCACAATGGGAAGCTCAGTGATGCCTTTGAAGTGAAGACAGGAGTGAAACAAGGTTGCCTACTATCCCCCATGATATTCTTGATTGTGGTGGACTGGATCATGCAGCAAACAGTGGTGAGCTGTGAGAAGAGGGGGATACACTGGACTGCGGAAAAGAACCTAGAAGACTTGGATTTCGCCGATGACTTATGCCTACTGTCACATAAACTTGAAGATCTGCAGGCAAAAACTAACAAGTTGATAGAAGAGGCAGCGAAGACGGGACTTCAGGTGAATATAGAGAAGACAGAAGTGATGAAGATACCGCACCACCACCATCAACAACAACAACAACAAACTCCAATCACCGTCAACGGGAGAAACTTAAAGGAAGTAACCTCCTTCACTTATCTAGGAAGCACTGTTTCAACTACAGGCGGGACGGACGAGGACGTCAAAGTCAGAATCGGAAAAGCAAGACAGGCGTTCATTAGCCTGAAACCAGTGTGGAGATCTTCTGCACTCAGCATGTGGAACAAGATCCGGATTTTCAACACCAACGTCAAGTCAGTGCTCTTGTATGGCTCAGAGACTTGGCGCGTCACGAAAGGTATTTCCAATAAACTACAGACATTCATCAACAACTGCTTACGCCGGCTCGCTACTGAAGATCAGATGGCCAGAAAAAATAAGCAACAAGGAACTCTGGGAACGAACCAACCAAGAACCTATCACGCAACAAATATGCAGGAAGAAGTGGAGATGGATTGGCCATGCACTGAGAAGGCCGACTGAGGACATCACGCGTCAGGCCCTCGAGTGGAATCCCCATGGGAAGCGACGAGTTGGACGTCCGAGGGTGACATGGAGGAGGTCGTGCGAGCAGGAAATGAGAGCTTCTGGGCTGTCGTGGAACCAGGTTCAAAAGATCTCAGAGAACAGAGGTCACTGGAGGCGTGCTACTGAAGCCCTATGTTCCACTCGGAACCCAAGGGACTAATAATAATAAATAATAATACTGTAGAAGCATCAACTTCAGTGTCTTGTACTCCATAGTTAGTTAACACCAAACCACTTAACACAATGGAGGTCCTTATTCAATTTCAACTTCTTAAGTGCCATAAAATTCCAGGTCCGAATAAGGTATACTTGGTTCTTTATAAGGATAAGGGTAACACAGCAGTCAATAGACTGACAATGTTGTTTGAGAGGATATGGCAGATTAACTGTTTCATCCCCGGAATGGATTCAATATTGTATTCATCTTCAAAAGCAGTGTACTTATCGAGTATGATGTTTACAGTGGTATTGGTCTGCTTCCTGTATTGTGTAACATATTGACTTTTATTATGGTTTACAGGCTGAGAAAGATGAGTAGGGAACTGACCAGCAAAGAGCAGGCCAGGTTTCTTTTAGAAAGTGTATGTGCTGATCCCGTCTTCAACCTTCTTCGAATGGTGGAACGCTGTCATACATATTGCAGACCAAAAGCCTCAATTTCTTGCTATTAAGGCCGCCGTTGTTGTGAAGGGCATCACACTGGAGTTACCTGTTATGGAGGGATATGCGAAGGCATGGGCAGGCTGTTAGCGTCTTGGCAAGCTCCTTACTTTAACACCTCAGGAACAGGTACAGAATACAGCCTCCTCTACTCTTTGTCTCTAATCAGCATTGGAGTTGAAAAGAGCTACCTGATTTCATCATTACTCTGTGACTTTGCCATCGAAGACATTCTGAAGACAGCCTTCAAGGAAATTCTTGGCGGTGGCGTAGACTTGTGGTCAGGTAAAGAAATTTTGACCTCGAGTAAGCTAACGATACCGTTCTACTCTATGATGATACGTACTCTACAAAACCTCCCACAACCAGTTATCAGTCGGTATCCGTAAGTATGACGTATTCTCTGGACTACCGAAATGTTGGGTATTTTTTAAAAAGATTCGCATGCATCTGTGTTTACACTCCTTCGATTAGAAGACGTTGAAATGTTTGTGCATCTGGGTAGTTGTATATGCTGGAAGAGGTGGGAACGAAGTGATTTTATGCCAACCTGAGTCAATCCTGGCGTCATCGTGACGCGATCTTATCCGTAAGGTGAGTTCATAAAGTATCGGTGCATGCAGTCCTGCCCTAGGCCTTTGAAACATGACCTCTCCCGGATGAGGATATTGAACTAGTTTGAGTGTCCGATTACCAGTCTCTGTGCGATTGCTAGCATTCAGTAAGTAAGTAATTCTAGGGCAAAGATCCGTGTACTTGGGTGTGATGGTAATCGTCATCCGTTGAGTTAAGCGATCTTGAAACATAAGTCTCGTTGGTTTGTACATATGCTACGAATTTCTTTTCTTCAACAAGTACAATACTCTTTCAACTCATTGAGACAAATTTCTATTCACAACCAACATGATTATGATTTATTCTTTAGAGAAGGACCAATACGTCCATTAGTTTATGCTTTCAGATAATAATGCAGAGGTATTTGCGATAAGAAACGTAATTGTGCATATCTACCTTACTTCTCATGACACTCATGTAAGTACTGGTATTCCTACTCATATATGAACACAAGATTCGCCAAATTGTCTGGCTGTCACACAAAATGGTCTTGAAATGATGATGCATAGTTATGCTTTAATTTCAAACCCCAGAAATCCTATGCAATATCACTACATTGGAAATGAGAAGTAATTGCGATGAATTAATTAACACACTTGAGTAAAAGGCATAAGTTAACGTATCAGAGCAAAAATACTATTAAGTTAACAAAACTAATAGATTATTCGAATTCATTACAAATTGATTTTAAACGTAACTTGACATAACTGTCTACAAGGAATAGTGAAACTAGGCGATTCATAAACAAATAAATCATAGCTTTCCATAAATGAGTTGCATAATTGTATTAGCGACTGGTACTCATTAGTACTGGATTGAACAGATGATGTGTGGCAATATGGAGATTTAAAAGTCGTCTGCAATCTGAGTGGGTAAGAAAACATAGAATAGTTGCAAAGATTAATACTTTTAGTGGTTTTCAGAAGGAATACTGGATTTATCACCACAACAGGTAGGCTATTTCCTGCAAATAAAATGATCATTCCCCCCCCCCTCCCCACTCCAGAATTTGTAGATTGAACAAACAATCTGAGTAGGTGCAGTTTAGCAGGTAGCTAGTTTAATTTCTTGATAAACCAGTAGTTCAGCTGTCTTCTGATGCTCCTGCTATACACAGATAATAGGTCATTCGATACGCTTTAGTATTTATAGATTCAGAAAATTACCTAAGTAAGAAAGTTTTCATGCACCAATGAGATAACCACTTTGTGAATGAATCCACTGTACTTTTGAGTGCGACTACTTTCACTCAAGTTTGTTACTAGATATCACACATGTGACGAAAAAGTACAAATTACCATGATTTAGTATACATAATTTAAATGAAAAAGTCATAGGGAATAACGTTATTTGGCTAAATACTGTTTTGGAATAAAAAGTGACTAGCATAAGACAAGTTGAGTGGATATTAAGGAAGATTTATAGCTCAGGATGACTATGACAGTGGTCTGGCTTTTTCGCAGATTTAGCTTTTGATCAGAGACTCCTTATGAAATTATTGCTGATGGGATCTCCAAGTCTGGTGACAAAACGTCGATGCCTAAATACACAGAAGACCAAGCTACTTTCAGACCACCCTTCGTTTGTGTAATATGAATTATTTTTCATTGGAATAAACATACATAATCACTTGTATTCTTAGGTAAATTTCTGTCGTACTACAAAAAGATGATAGCCAAACACGCGCAACTGTTATGCATGTGTTCTAAACACTGTGCAGTTGAGCATATGGAGGTTGCCTCCATCAACTTTTGAGCGGCTAACCTGACTACCATCAGTACGAATGTTTTCATCCAAGTCAATTTAAGCGATGACACAAGTGATCAGTCAGTGTGTAGGTGAGCATGATTATCCCTGGAAGATATTAGGTTATCACTGTGACAAATAGTTAGTTGATCACTACCTTTGATAGTTTTTACCACGTCGATTTTGTTTTCCTAACTTCTCATTTCACTCATGAGAATGCTTTCCGCTGCTTTTTATAACTACACTGCCTGCTATTTAAAAGCATTCATTGAAGAATAACTGGCAGTTACTTGATTTTTTGCTTTAAGTTCTATAAACAAGCACCGTGTCAAATGAATTCACCAATATTATTGTTATTACTCTTCTTGCTGCTACTATTAGGCATAAATGAAAGTGGATATTGTTGGTTTAGCAGTGAGCAATGATCATTGATTAGCTATTCATTCCATGCTATGGGAAGTATGACGGACATAATTAAAACATACTACAATCCTCTAGCTATTTTTAATGAATAAAAATACTATTTAAACAACACATCACCACTAAAAGCTATATGAAGCAAGCAGTGGATTGGCATAAAAAAATGTTTTAAATCCAGTCTTAAAAAATAACTACCGTTGATATCATTGTATTCCAACAACCTCTGGCATTTCTCTCATATTTATTGAAATACTTCAGCAAGTTTGAACAACGAAAACTATCTAGTCCCTAATTATTCATCTTGGTAACTCGCAGTGGAATCCGGAACGTGCGTTTCGTCCTATTTAGAACTCATCAGCTGGGTGTATCTGCTCCACAGTGAGTGACGTTCTTCCCACTCAGACTTGAACCCAGTACCATCACTTCAAACTCCAAAACGTTATCCACTACATATATAGTTAAAAATGTAGGAACTAAACTAGACTAATAGAAAACTCACAAATTATGGAAGATTCAGAATTACTGATTGGTTGTAAAGTAAGTGATAAGAATGTTTTACGTGTCAACTGGTCGTTTGAAATGCATTCAGAGAGTTTTTAAACACTTATCTAAGAATGTTCAATTTAGACGTATCACTTCCTTCACTTACATACTTCTCATTGGAAGTTAGATGGTCTATGTCGATATTTCAATGCATATAAAGACACTAAAACTGTTTGGCTGAGATTGACACATAACTTCCTGTTGACTTATACAAGGCGTATATGTATGTGTTTGAGAAGTCTGTGTCAAAAGCAGATGACTCGTGCTCTTCTGAATATTGAACTAAGGATTATGAGAGACATCAAGTTTGACAACACAAAGCTGTTCTGTGCTATAGTATACATTATTCACGCTAGCTACTGTCTCTGTGTAATATTTGATCACCCTCTGCATTGTAAATTAAATGTATTTGTGTTACTTTATGTTTGAAAGTGAAATTTGATGCCGTTCATCGTAATCTTTTTCAACTGTTTTATGTTAACCTGCTTACCTGGGAAAAAACGACCATAAATTGCCTTCAGTATAGTTTTCACCATGTACTGAAATCATTTGGAGAACCAGTAAAGACTTGAAAGAACTGGACAGCTGTTTCATCCTAGTTTGGTCTCTGTTCCTAACAGGGTCACGGCTAAGCACTACTGAGGAGTCTGAAACCAGGACGAAACAACTAATCATCGCTCACAGGCTCTCGTTGGTTCTCCAGATGATGTCAGGCCATGATGAAAGCTACCTTGAAAGTAATCAATCCCACCACATCCCAAATGAATTATGTATTTGACCTTGAGGTGAATTAAAGACTGATGCTAGTTAAAATTCTTCAGATGAATTGAAACAGTCTCCTTGTCTGGTATTAATCACCATGATATCATCTCTCTACAACGGAAGAACTTTTTGAACTACGTAAAAATGTAATGAAGCCGTTACGGAATCAGACTCAAACTTCATAACTTCCCTCTTATATCATTACACAAATCCTCATTGAATATGTCAATAAAATAGCACACCCAGTTTCTTATCATTATAACTATCCAAGTGAAGCTGAAAGTATTTGAATGGCACATAGCTAGAATATTTGACTAATAAAATATCGTACCAGGTACTAGAGATTACTACTGAAATAAATAAATAGAGATAATAAAACATTTAATTGATTAACGTGAGATAACTGTGTTATAACATAATTACTGATCTCATCTGCTTTAAAGTTACATCCGTAAAAATTGGTTGGAATGTTTGCATCCTTTCATAGTGTTTCCCATTCGTGCCAAGATTATTCACGTTCACAGCTTCCTTGACTCTTGGACAAAGTTTCATTAATATTTTCACTCTGACTGCATTTTCTTAATTCACCGTAATCTTGAGATTTCGAACCTGTCATTTGCACCTTTGCCATATTTTCTTCGGATGGTGAGCTTGTCCGCCTGTTCAGTAAGCTGTGTTTATCATCTGCAAGTCCAACCAGAGTGGATCTACGCTGAGCATCTATACTTTCAAGCACAGGTGGCATAGACAGAAAATCATTAACCGATATTTCACTAGGCCGACGACTTGGTAACCTAAATGAAGCTAGTTTATTCAGAGCAGGCTTCTGTTTGTTTCCAGACTGTGGTGCTCCAATAGAAAATGGTGAGTCACTTGACTGTGCTCGCTGTAATAATGTTGGCAGAGATTCATTTGATTTACGATGAGTGTTTAAACGTAACGGTTGAATATTATCCATATCTTCTTCCACTGTTTCATCTTCTTCCACTTGTTTTTCTTCCTGTTCTTGGTCGAGGTCATGGAACACCACTGTTATCTCCATCGTTTACTTTCAGTATTATCCATCTGTTTAGTGGCTGGGTTACTTTGTCGACGTGTGAACAGTAAAGTCTTTGAGTTAATAATACTGTTTATTCTTAATTCACTTGTCACAATTGATCGCTGAGAATTCCTCTTATTGGTTGATTCATCAACTCTCCTATAACATATTTTTGAGCCAATAAGTTTTGTACATACTGGTTTATGGAGTTCAATATCGACATTATTACTTAAATCAATTAGTTCATTTACTGGTCGCGTGCTAAATTCCGATTGAATACGTTTTACAGTATAGATCTTGTCTTACTTGGACAAAATGAGTGTACCACACTGTGTGATTCTCTCTAATCTAAGACATAAAATTAATAATAAGGAAAGTTTAATTTCCTTGTCACTTAAATTAATCACATTGATCGATTTAAAGGTGTTTGGGAAAACGTGATTGTATTCAGAGCTCAGGTCGATGAACAGACATATTGTGCACGTGTATAGAAGTAAGCCTTGTTAAGTTTTAGGTGTGTATTGTACATGTGTCCTTAAAAAAAAGATCAAACCACTTGGTTTACCTCGTTTGAGAATTTTTATTTATTTTAGGAGTAGATTAGATTGATATAACCCATTAAATGGAAACCCTGTTCCAACAATCTTATTCCATTGTGTAATGAAATGGGTATATAAAATTCACTGCAGTACATTTATGCATCTTTCGTTCACTTACTAGTGGATGAAAAAGACCTAACTGTAAAGACTGTTTCTATAGTCAACACTTGCTTTGTTTGTCTACCGGCAATATAAACACTGAAGGAGAAATGATGATGGGGAGCCAATCAGCGATGAAGAAAAGCTGGTTACAGTGATTTACACTTCACCCACACGTTCTCTTATCATTTTACCACTTCTCACATTTCTATACTTATATAGCTAACTGTTTCATCAGACTTTGTAATGGCTGACTGCAGAGTCCATAACGCCTAGTTACACCTGCATCCCAATATTGGTGTCCCCATAGAGATCACACATAGAGTTCACTCATAGCTTAACACACCGTTTAGCTGTTGAGAAACAGTTTCCACCTTATGTTCAGTACCCTACGGGATAAATATTAAACACTAAAGTATTTGAAACCACAATTAATTACTTCGGATCTGAGTTGGAATACCAACGGTGTATGGTATGCGGTTTCATACAGCTCACCAGTCAGCCATAAAGAGGATAAACATACATTCCACTGTTAGACGCTAATAAACAATGATCAAAAACCGTTTCGAGACATAATTACACAGAAGCTATGGTTCACCGAGGTTGACCAATTAGTTTCTATGACTACAACAGCCACAAACATCAACTGAACTGGAATGAACTCAGCAACCTAGTACAAGTTTGTAAAGTAGGCAATGAGCTACACCTGTTAAGTGAGAGATAATAGTACTACCTAGTTGACCAAACCTTACTAAGTGGAACTGAATTCGTATCGTTACGCATCGATTAGAAATTAAGTGCTTAAACCAATGAGGCATAGCTTCTCAAGCACCTATGTAAGTTACCATTCTGTTGTTTTTTTTCAAAATCTTGAACGGTTAATTGAGTACTCATCCTACTTTTGTTCTCATTTTTTGTGGAAACTGCATCAATAAGTAGAGTTTATTGAGTGATTATCACTCAGTCACAGCAGCACAATGCAATTAGTCAGTTAGTCAATCAGGTTACATCTAGTGTCCTCAATTTGCACACAATTTGCAGACATTTGGAAAACCTTGAGTGTGTACAACCATAAATCAGACAATTTATTGATCCTTCACTAGCAGACAAGATTGTGCGTCAGTCAGGGTTATGCGTGTGTCAAGTGTTCTGCACCAAAATTTCTAGTTTTTGAGAAATAGTTGTTCAACAGACTTTTCTCGCAAGCCTTGTTTGTTGAATTCAGCGACTGGACTGTAACCGAAAAAAAAATTACAAGCACAGCATAGTATAACTCATAGCATACAATGAAAAAGTACTGTTTATCTGAAGTCTAGGTAGTAAGTCGTGTCAAAATTCACTTCTTTGTTCCTGACATTGTGAATGCAAACAGAGTAACAGTCAGTTACAACCTTACAGTTGTCAACTAAACTGCTAGCTAACAGCATTCGTCATTGCAGAACTTCCCTATGTTGAAAATTAATACACTGAAGATCCAATAGAATTTCGATATTTTATAAAATCGGAAATACAAATTCATATTATCTAGTAAGCTGTACCTTAGGCTGATATTGTAAAATGAATTCTTTTTTTCTGTTTGTTTTCACACTGGACATTGATTAGGGCGTATCAGCCTTATCTTCCAACCTAAGTGTGTGTTGTCGCACTTTTTTCATTGGATATCTGGATAATCCATCTGTATTAAATGTTTGTTCTCAATAAAAACAATGCTGTTTTGATTGTCTAGGCCTTCCCCGGTTTCCAAGGTTTACTAAACTTTACCGACTATGAGAACGGCATCAAATTAGAATCATATGCATGAAATCGGTGTGCACATCAGGTCATTCACTCCTACTAACAGAGAAGGTCCTAAAGTCCCCCCACTCCAGTTAGATATCGGCCCCTAGGTATTTCAACCTTTACTACCTGTAAGGGTTAGAGGACAAGTGACCACGTTCAGGTGTCAGTCAGCGATTACTTCCGAAGAGTCCAAGCCCCAGCTACAAGGGATACAACTAACATCACTTTCAGTGTTCGATAGCGGCTGCAAAATATAGGTAAAAATAATGCTACTGTTAGTGGTTTAGTAAGCCTGAACTACAAAAAAGCACTCGCTATTCGTATTCGAATAAAATCCCACTAGACGTACTGCATACCCCAATTATGCAAATGTTTTCAAAAGGAAGAAGTATTTCCATGGTGCGAGACGTCTCTCATTTCTTACTGGCATAATCGAACAAACAGCCTTGTAAGATAATCCAGCGAATATTTTATACATGTAGTCAACACACTGACACGAACGAAAATGAGTACAACAGGTTAACTCAGGTATTGAAATGGAAAAAGTATAATCCAGATAGAAATATAACAATTCAAGTCTGTACTAGGTTGTTGGGATACAAATAACTGGATATCTTATGTATAAAATAAAATTTCAAAGTTTGACAGGGCATGTGAGACTTTTTCATGTCTGTTTATACAACCATAAAATAATACAAAACAACAGTCTATCAGTCAGTGCCTACAAAGAAGCCTCTGATCTCACATATATATATATATATATATATATATATATATATATATATATATATATATATATATATATATATTATATATATATATATAGCCTTGAAAATATCAACGGATTGCCACTTTGCATATAGCCGGGACTTATATCAAATAGGAAATGATCTGGTAGTGAAGATTCAGATCATCTCTGGCTACCTTTGAAGAGTGAGTGTCCAGGGGACCAGCAGTTGAACACTCGATTTAAACCATCTCAGTTTTATGAATTACAAATAATACGGAGAAGTTTAAACCCATACTTAATAACACATAAAGAAACTGAACTTTAAAATATATTTCGCATCAAAATTCACACTGGGAATGGTTTCCATATGAGTAAACGAAATGAAGAATACGACGCACAACAATTTATTCAGTCTAGGCGTCATTCGTCTTCTCTCAGATCATATGAAAAGTTACATACTCCTTTGACTGACATCGATAATCAATCACATATTTTTGCCACAGTAGCCAGAAGTGTATTGATTAAATAGTGCTAATAGAACATTTCTAGTAGAACTCGGTGTGATACATTCGCTGTTCTAAAGTTAAGTGGACGGTCTTTTTTTAGAGGAAATTAGATTTAGATTTTCCATACTACACTGCCTACCTACTTCTTTTAGCTGTAATAACCTTACCGTTTTGGTTTCCAGAATTCCTTTTGCTTCTACGATACATTCTTCATTAGAAATATCAAGCTATCAAGAAACTGCTAGGAGAGCGTCATTCCGAGTTGAATTCGAAATAGTGGACTATGAACCACCAATTTGCTTCTCATGCAGCTGGGGTCACGTCTGTCTTCCATTCGCACTAAAATGTAACTCTGTTATTATTATTATTATTATTATTATTATTATTATTATTATTATTATTATTATTATTTATCCCTTGGGTTCCTAGTTGAACATAGGGATTCAGTAGCACGTCGCCATTTCACTCTCTTCTCTGCAGTCTTTTCAACCTGGAGCAACAACTGCCCACAACCTTTCATGTCTTCCTCACATGCTTTTTGTGACACGCCAAGTCTCTGAACAATATAAAAGCACTGTCTTACTTGACATTAGTGTTAAAAATCCGGATCTTGTTCACGCTTTATGCTGAGTGCAGTGCAGTCAGCAGATGTCCACACTGATTTCACATTAATGAAGGCCTGCCTTGCTGTCTTTCCAATCCTGGCTTTGACATCATCGTCTGTGCCGCCGCCTGTAGTTGAGACGGTGCTGCCCAGGTTGGTGAAAGAGACAACTTCCTTCAGGTTTCTCCCGTTAAGGGTGATTGGTGCTTGTTGTTGATACTGTTGTTGTTGTTGATGATTGGGTATCTTCATCACCTCCGTCTTCTCTACATTCACTTGAAGTCCCGTCTTTCTTCGCTGCCTCGCCTCTTCTACCAAATTGTTGGTTTTCGCCTGTGGATCTTCGAGTTTGTGCGACAAGGCATTAGACATAAACCATAATCGGCGAAATTCAAATCTTCTAGGGTCTTCTCATCGGTCCAGCCAGAGTATGCTCCTCTCCGCGCTCCTCACAGTTTGTTACATGATCCAGTCCAGTTCGGTCGACCACAATCAGGAAGATCATCGGTGATAGTAGGCAGTCTTTTCTTACTCTTATCTCCACTTCAAAGTCATCACTGAGCTTCCCATTGTGGATAACTTGACATGTAGAATCATCATCATATAGGTGTTGAATGAGGTTGATAAAGATTTGTGGCACCACGTAGTGTTGAAGCAACTGCCAAATTATTTCTCGGTCGACGCTGTCGAAGGACTTTTCAAAGTCGATGAAGTTGAGGTAAAGATCCTGTTGACTACCATTATATACTCCCTCCTATGATGATGCGTAGCGTTGCGAATTGATCCACACATGATTTGTTCTTCCTGAAGTCAGCCGGTCAGCCTGTTTCTGTCATAATTTTGAATGCGAGCATCCTTTAGTCTTACCAGGATGGTGTAGCTTCATAGTTTGATTGGGATGGACGGGACAAGTGCATGATTCCGCACCAGTTCTTGCAAAGACTTGAGTCACCCTTCTTTGGGAGTTTGACAAGGTAGCCCTTCTTCCAATCCATGGGAAGGTACCTTTCGTCCTCCTTCCTAACACGGTTCTACAGGTTTCTTTCCACGTCGCTTTCG